CCGCACACAGTCTGTTCCAGCCCCTATCTTACATTTTTTGTAACTTTCTTTATCATATACATATTTGTACTCTTTTGTATTTAGTAATTTGTTAATTGTTAGGCTTCTTGATCCGAGACCTGAACCCAAATTTTGTACCACAAACATGCAAATGTGAGCTGGTATGACAATAAAAAATCCTTGAAAGTTGCTGCATACAAGGAGAGCAAAAGCATGATGAGAGGAGCAGTAAAAGTGTGTGACTGAGAGCAGGAACAATTTATTACTTTTTAAAATCTTCAAAAGAATAAGGCTATATAAGTGTAGACAATCTAAGGAGAACTTTAAGACATCCAACATGTCAAGCTGTCATCTGTCAGTAAAGACAAATGATTGATTGTGTTTACTATATTTAGTTAAAAAAAAAATCATGCATATAGATAAATACATCCATTAAAAACACTTGAATAACACAAGTGAGTGAAAACACTTGTTTCTTTTGTGGTCCAATACACACTGTGATTGTACAGCCTTTATAAAGTTCATTAAACAGCGACTAAAAGGATCACTATTGCATTTTCATTTGCATTATGGCAAATAAATGCACTGATTATTTCCAAAAATATCGTTTTGTAAAAACATTTAGCCCCAAACCTCATCTTTTCTTCACGTTTTTGTGTATTTTAAATTGTTCATCTCTTGCAGCACCGTTTGGGCTCATTCCTACCTTCGTAAACAGAAAAGGAGCGGTGTCAGGCAGCAATCAATTCAAGGGCATGTCCTCAGGCAGCCTTACAATGGCGGCAGCTGCAGCCCACTGCAGTGATCGACTTCAAGAATGGCGACTAGCAGGAGGCCTTTAAAAATAAAATGCCTGGCTAACCAAATCGCAAGAGAATGTGAGCGTTCACACATGCACATCACTGCACCCACACAAAGAAACTGGCTGCGCTTAATGGTTGTATGATCAAGAAATAGATACGAACGTCCAGTTTTCATCATAAATTCCTTTATTGGACATTATTTTTTTAAAACAAATTATTGGTTACATTGAAATCTAAACATAAAAACAAAGGTATGAGTCAGCTGTACGTGCAAATAACATTATTCAAACAAAAAAGGACACAAAACAGACAGCTCACAGTGCAAATGCTACAACAAAATACAAATAAAAACACTGAAAACTAAATCTGAAAAAAAAAAAGAAAACCAAGTGAAAAGAGCAACACCAGTGCCGTTAAATGGTCATAAATGAGTCAGATGAGCTTTCTATACAGAAAGACAACAGCAGTACAATGTGCCATATAGCTTGAAAACATTTTCTGTAGAAACTACTCACAGCAGAAGCTTGCACATAATAAATCACACCTCTTACCTTTCTCTCAATGCACCACTTTCTGAAACAGCTCAGTATCAATTACAATCATAAGTCATCCATGCAAAAAGCCAATAAACACCTATAAGTGTAACTCAAGTTGCTTATTTTGCCCTGAAATGCCCCTCAGTATTATCCAGAATCCACATGCTCTAAAGTTATGTCACTCCTCACTTGCCACCTCCTACCGCTCTGTCCTGAAATGAACTTTCTCTCCGTTACACCAAAACAGAGCTTTCAGACACGCTGCTCACTTTTCTCTGCCCTTTTTGGGGTAAAAAAAAAAATCAGGCGCATCCTAACTTTAGCCATAACACTTTACCACTAAATAACGTAGCGTGTCCGATATCTTACATTAGCCTCATCATAAATGGTTTTAAAGACTTTTTACAGCTTTGCAAGGTCATAAGAAAACAACCTTTAACCAATACCACTTTCAAATGCTTCAAAATACACAAAACACAGAACAGCTACAGGAAGACGTTCAGGATGAAACGTGGACACAGTTATACATATCTACATATCAGTGTGCTGTGATGCAGAGTATTATGTACACACACAGATGAATTTTTAGTTAGAACACACACCCTTTACCGTCTTTATAAATATGCGCTGATAACAGCACGACTGAGGGGCATTTACCCACGTCTCCTCCGCTCTACGTCTATTATAATTACACAGTGGTATTTGTGTCAAGAGACCCCAACACAATATTTCTACTCTAAAATAATCCATCTAAAACTCCCACTTTGTTTACAGGGACTATTTAGTTTTAATCAACCGTTTTCTAAACACATTTATTAAAATAAATACTTTCTGGTATTGCACTGTACTTATAGCCGAAGATTTGGGCTTAAAAGGATAAATCTTGGTTTTAGAGGTGGTGTCGTGTCGACTGACTGTTGCAGATCGCTTTTTAATTGAAACCAGTTTGGAGAAGTCCAGTTGGATTCTGACCAGACTGATGAGCTTATGGCTAGTCCGAGCAGGGCCAAGACCAACGTGGTTTGTAGTCAACTTACAAAAACGCCAATGTCCAAGATTTTATGGCAGCTCATGTAAATGTTGCTTTATAAAATGTAGCCATCTATTTTACATTACATGATTATTACAGCAGAAATATTATATTTCTACAGGAAGTTTCCAGAGCTGCAGCAGAAGTGCTATAGCTAGCTGTGATGGCTACTATTTGTGCTTGCAAACAACTAAAAATGTGGTTTAATTGACTGTGGAATGTGAAAACAAGTGCAGAGTAAATGTTTACAAAGTATTATTGGTAGGGATGCACGATATTGGATTTTTGGCCGATATCCGATATGTCAAAACTTATTTGGCCGATAACCAATACCAATATTGTTTTCCCTAGACCTATATATACTTACAGAGATTACATCACTTTCTCTGCTGTGGAATTAAATTATTACATTATGCTGCCTGGTCTTTGTCAGTTTGGCCTGCGACCAAACGCAGAAGCCAAAAAGAAGGCTGAAAATTATGCATCACTAACTTGGATTACGTTTAGTGCCAAATTTATTCATGACATTTACTCTCTCTAACACAATAACACTCGAACAATACATATTTATAAATGTTCACAAATCTAATCTGTTCACAAGCGACAAGTGAAAAGCACATTAATAGATACATGTGACAGTTTCTTAAATTAAAAATTAATTTAAAACAGAAGCCTTTCATATTGGTGAGTCATTATGATGGAATGGCCGATATTTAACTTTATCGCTAATATTGGCTGATACCGATACCATGCCGATAATATCGTGCATCCCTAATTATTGTTATGAAATGCTATAAAATCTTTAGGACTGGAGTTATTTTGAGAAAGCTCTTTGATCTTGGCCACATTCAGACTATTCATGAGCTTGTCATTGTGATGCACAGTTTCTGCAAACTGAGGCCATTCAGAGATATTTACAACAGGTGCAAAATATTAATTGTTTATAACCTTTCCATAAAGTCCCACTTTAAAAAAATCTCAACTATCACTTTTAGAGGACAATATGGAATATACACCTATAATAAAATAAAATAAACATACAAAAGACTAGGATTTTTTTTTTTTTTAACATTTGAAATAATGTGAATAAGCAGATGAGACAAATGCAACTGTACATAAATAACAACAAGCTGTGTGTTTGTGGTTCTAAAGTTTACATAAAATCATCAAAAGTAACCTTTAGCCTTACTTCCTAGACACGTGGCAAAGTTGTGGACAAACACCTCTGATGGATTCACCGTGGAACCGCTCCAAAACTTAAGTGGTTTACAGGAATAGTCTCCGGCCACATACCAATCTAATTCAATGGAAAGCTTTCCTCTGAGGCCATGCTGATGTAAACAAAGGCAAAGGTTATGTTCAGATTTACAGACAACAGCGATGCCTGTTGTTTCTCAACTGTCTGACACCTTCGCTTTTTGACCTGCTCTCAAACATTACGAGTAAAGTAAAAAAGAAAAAAATAATAATAATTACAGATGAATGTTTACATTCAAGTAAATCTACAAGCTTTGTCATTGTGAAGACTAAATATGTGCACAGTGGAAGAGGGCAGATTTTTAAAGGATTTAGGTAAAAATAGACACCAGTCTGACTATAGGAAATGCGAACGTGGAACAAATTGCACCTAAGGAATGTCCCTTGTCAGTCTATAGGGCTGCTCATATTTTTGGTCATTTATTCAGAGTGCAAGGAGCAGCACTATAGACTTAAACTGATGACGATCGAGTACCTCTGGAGAAGCAGATGTTTCAACGCTACCATCTGTAACAGCTACTTTGTCTATAGACACATCTGCTGTGTGAAAAATGCACTTAGTACAATAAAAAAAAAACTAAAGGAAAATTAATAGGCTTTCTTAAAATCTGTGAATGTCCCATAATAAAAGTATTTTTGTTTAAATGTAAAAATAATAGTGTGTATATATAGCCTCTTCTATTACAATAGACCTGAACAAGAGAAAGTTCACAAAATAATCTGAGGTAAACCTAACTGTTCAGTCAGTCACTGCATATATATTTTCTCTTTGTGAAAACAGCAGCCATGTCGGAGTTCAGTCAGTGGAAAACAACAAATCTCAAGGTATTGCACACGTGATGGCAACACAACCCTCACATGAATTACATGAATTATGCTGCTATGTGTTTTGTTTTTTCCTCTTGAACACAAAAAAAACATGGATTTTGTTCTTTTTAACTACTGTTGCAGGAAATGTGCAAGAACTAATCTTTCACATTATGGCGAAATTTGAACAAAGTATGTAACATTTTAAGATGTAAGCTTGTTGATGATAAGGTGTTTATTATGTTCTCAAAAATAAAAACTTTCATCATAGCTTAGAATAAGGCATTTAAATGGAATCCTTTAGGAAATATACACCTTCTTCTGTATATAAAATAATCTTTATAGTTATATTTCTCATAATATATACTTTATAATAATTACTTTGAATGTGTATTTTCCATTTCAGCTTGTGGCTATGCTTTCCAACTGAGTGAAGGAATCTACTGGATCCACTGTGAAGAGCGACGCCCTCTGCGTCCCAATAAATCAACGTGAATGCGCACATGCAAAACAATGTGACATTTGGAGGAGCACCACGCCACCAAGTGAATTTTGACAACCTCTCCTGAAGCGAGTAGTGAAGCCTGAAGCTGGCTCTGCCCCGCGCTTTTTCCGTGGCACATTATGTAATGTGAGCGTGCCCTCCCAAAGGGCACGGAGCTGCACCCGAGCCCTGACATCACGGCAAATGATGCACGCGCCATCCCACCGACTGGGGATCCTCTCAAGCTGACGCAGTCCATGTTTAAAACCAGGGGAAGGGTTTGCAGATTTCGTGGGCTTTCACGTGTGCAGCTCACGATGGCAGAAAAAAAAATTAAAAAAATCCAAATAAACTCAGGTACCCGGGGATCACTGCGCGCAAAATGACGCACGAAATGTGCCGCTACACGCGCCCGCACGTTCAGATAAAGTGAATCCATCCGTTCTCCCACTCCCGAGGTGGGGACATCTTCAGCTGATGGCGTCGCACTTTGTAGTTGCTCCCGTTATTATTGTCCCAGAACTCCTGCCCCCCAACACAGTATTTAATAGCGAACTGCAAAGTGCCCCCGTGGTCAAGGTAGGTGGGCATGACAATCTTGAAACAGAACTGATCGGTGTCCCCGTTGGTGGAGCTGGGGACATATGTGGCCAAACTGTCCATAAATGTGATCCAGTTGTTCAGGGAGTACCGCAAAGAGACGCTCTTCTCGAAAGCCATGTTCAGGACGCGCACAAAGCCGGAGAGGCTGAAATCGTCCGTTTCTACGGTCTCCAAAAGCACTTTCACCTCCCGGACTTTCTGCTCGAAGCCTGGCAGCGTGCCTGGGTTCGTGAACTGCAGTTCCATGAACAAAGACTGCGAAGGAGCCCGGGGGAACTTGGTGTTCAGGTGATGGAGGGTCCCCTTGGGTAATTTCGCCAGTATGCGCTCCGGCACCTCTGGATCATCAGCATCGTCAAAATGCTTCACGGAGATGAGCTCCAGACCCAGAGAGTCGGCGAAGCGGACCTTTTTCTGACTGGTCGGACTTCTGCTGCGAGCGATCTCCAACCTGGCTCTCTCTGAAGGTGTGGGGAGAGATTTGCATCTGCGGCGAAGGTTTGGACTCTGTGGCGTCTTCAGAAATATCTCGCGGCCGCGGGGCCTCTCGTCCACCACGGGGCTCTCCATGGGCTCACAGGAGCCGTTCACCATGTCCAAGTCCTCCCCGTCCTCCAGCCTCGGGTTCGCCGCCGTCAGGCTCCCGAACAGTCCCGCGATGCAGCTGTAGTTCCGCGGCAGGCAGTTCTTTGGAGGCAGCATGTCCGCGGCGGGGCGCGCGCACTCCTGTTCTCTGAAGCACGCCACAGCTCCTGCACTGCAGAGCCGAGGTGGTCGTGATGAGGCAGACCTGAGAGTCAGGGCATGAAGTCTTCAGGTGGCAGTGTCTCTCCCCGGGATAGGTGCTCCTATTGCGTCAGAGACCGACACTCCTTCGACCTGGACCAATAACGCGCGCTGTTCCAGTTGATGTGCAGCTGAGACCAAGGTTGTTGCTGCGGATAGGTCACCATAAACTCCGCGCACGTCCAAACCAATCAAACTGAGTTATCTTCTTTTATTTCATTTTGAAAGGAGGGGAAAAAAACGCAATCGGTCTTTCCCACATCCGCCTTCCTGCGCGTATTGACGTGTGCGCGCAGCAGCGTTGCGACTGACCAAAATGGTTTCCTCCTTTCCCAGCAATAAACCGGTTAACTTCCTCTCTCTCATTTACGTTATAATCCATCCATCCAGTTTACACAATTTAAATACACGCGTTTTATAAATATTAATTGCACGTGCGCATTAATCTGTGATGTGGCAGCAATATGAACTCATTCCATCTAATCGTAAATATTGTTTTATTACCACTGTCATGAACGTGCAGCCTACACACACACCTCGGGGGGATTATCTGCAGCCGACGCGCGTGCAGCCCTCCCACTTTCTCTACGTCACTCCTTCCTCTCGGAGCTTTCACTGTTACCATGACGACGGCGTTACAGCTCCACACGCTGAAGGCATTCGCATCCTCCCTCCTCCGCCAGTTTGGGGAAAATTACTACCAGTTTTGTGAATGGTTGGTGACTCAGAATGAAGCATGGATTCAGTTTGAATCATTTAGGTGAGTTTATTAAATTTAGTTCTTGACTTTCTCCTTGTTTAAAGACAAACTTCACCCAAAGATCGACTGCTCTTTCACAGAGTTCAACACTAGTGTTCAGCATGCTGAGTCAGCAAGGAGACGAGACAGCTGAGAGCAGAGAGGACATGGAGCCGTCATCGCAGGAGAACACAGCAGGGCCAAAAGAGACACCACGGAGACACGTTGATGCCCTCCTGGACATCAGTGAGGAGAACTCCATGAAAGAACTGGAGCCGTATCATGATCCCAGTGAACACGCTGTAAGTGGATCACCTCACTGGTTTTCTCCTGCCTTTATGTAGGTTTGTCATGCCAGCAGCATATGTAAATTTTTATGTAGCAAGGACCAAAATTATAAGAAAATATTGATTATATGCATCTACTGTGGTGCTTTGAACTTTGTGACCCCTTTAAGATCCACTTATAGATTCAAGGTTCTTTATTGTCATCACATGTGGTACATGAGGTGGAACAAAACTGTGTACTCAAGGTCCCAGTACTATACAGTAATATACTGTACAAAAATGTACAGTATATTAAAAAAGATACAGTACACAAGGATCTATATGCCAAACAATAACAATGTAATATAATACGGTGTATTAAACAGCAGCCTGAACATGAGTCTGTTGTGCAGATGGGTAGAAATATAAGCTTCAAGACAAGAAATCAGCAGCATGGTCATTATATATGACTTCACTGAGAAAAAAACAAGTAGTTCAACAAATTATAAACATACTATTAAAAAAATTGATTTATTATAGTACAATAGACCAACTTTTATTAGCTGGTGTAAAACAAATGCCAAGGTTGGCAAAGGTTTGAGAAAAACGCTGATCTGTGCATTCGCTAAGATTGTTGATAATTAGGCTCAAATAATTTTGATGTCCACAGATTTGGACTTTTGTATTGTTAATACAAACAGGGCACTGAGTTGAATAATACTTTTGTCACGTTTATTTCATCACTGTCTTTTCATCCTGCTCAGGATACCAACCATGTGATATTCTGCAGATTGTTGGGTCATATTTTTACAGTAATATTCAATGTAAGGTCGTGATTTTTTTTTTTTTTCATTCAACCTTTATTTAAACAAATAAATCACACTGAGCCTCGAAAACTCATTTACAAGTGACACCTGTTTAGATAGACAATAAGAAGTAGTGAAAAATAACAAATAGGGTTTGGAGACAAAAATAAAACATCATAACACGCTTTTAACCTCTGGTTGAAGGTCAACAGCGTGATGATGGAAAAAAAATCTTGCACACTAGCACTTAATGACGCCGACATTACGCAAGGGCGGTCAGCATGTTCAGAGGCATCAGGGCATTTCTTAATCTGTCTTATTATAACATACTCCTGATATATATAAATATTTTAATAGAGCAGTTCAGCTCTATTTATTGTCACATTTCAATGCATTGTGTAGCAGAAGTACAGTTAACTGTTCCATAAAGTGATTTCTTCTGCAGGTTAGTCTTTATCGTACTGAAACCTTGGTAACGTCACTAAAATTTCATTATGTTATTAATTACCTGTGCGTTTTTCGGCTTTAATATGCTTAGTGCCTGAGTTACCATCATCAAAACGCATAATTTGCTATTTTGTGTTTTTATTCTTGGCCTATTAAGCTGTTACTGTCTTTAACAATAAATGTGGTTTGACAACAGGTTTGGGGATGGACCAGAGTCGCTCCACTGAGCTGCCTTCTCATGGCTCAGAAGAACCACAGGAAACCAAAGCATAAGGAGGTGGAAAATCACACCCGTTTGTGTGTAGACTCAATAGGTCCCAGAGCTAACAGCTCAGCCAGCGTAAAAGGGCAGCACAGGGAGTCTCGTGTTGGCTTGTCTAACTGTAAAAAGCCTGCGTCGGCGAATCAACAGATAGACTCTTCGGGTCCAACAAAACGGCCTGCACTGAACGCCATGCAGGAAGACATGACACGTTTCCTTCTTAAGGAAAAAACAGAGAGCCTGTTGAAAATCACACCTTTGCGGCCTTGCCATCTGTCCTCGCAGTGCTCTGTGCCAGAGAACCGACACACCAAGCCTCAGAAGCACGGCCACAAGCCCACCAATAAAGCGCTTCCAGTTAAAAGCTTAACGTTTTCCCCACCTATCCAATCACCACGGATCAATCCGGGCAGCTGCCATGTCTGCAGAGGCAAGAAGACTCCAAACGGAGAGAACCCCGAACAAAACTTGTTTATGTTCAATAGAAAAAGCGCAGCGAGACGGACAGGAGTGGACGTTGTTGCAAACCCAGATCTTTGCATTTACTCTGCAGCCCCGACCTCTGAATGCCACACTTCTCACCACAAACCTCATTTGTTCTCCACTTTATCTCTCCTCAAGAAGAATCAATTACTTATGTCTCCCACATCTGACACGGCGCACCCCACGAGCTATTCAGTGAGCAAGAGCATCTCACAGGCCGTAATGCAAACGCGTATACCTCCCAGGTGTCTCTCCTGAGCACGACTTCCTGTGCCATCAAGCTCAAGCTGCCCGTTGGATAAATGTGCACCATGAACAACAACGTTCAATAAATTAAACTTTCAGGATTTCATGTAATGAGAAAGTTCATCCTATTATTGCTGCTTTTGTTTCCACACTGACCTTTTCTGTGAGTAATCATGGATTTTACTCGTACTGCAACTCCATTTCATACGCACGAGGCGTTTTCAGCAACAGGATGTTAACACAACGTCAGTTCAGCAGAGCGCTGTGTCTCAATTTTTACAGTTATCAAAGGATGGGCGTAACGTGCGTTTCCTCAAAGCGTCGGCATGCAAATCGCGAGCTGTGGAGAGTTGAACAGAAGTTCAGATAAAATGAAGCTTACAAATAATATACAGAGATGTGACGTTCATCAACGATCCGGATCGTTTGAATGGCTCTTCACAACGAACGATAAGAACCGACTTGCAGACAGTAAAGTGCTGTGCCTAGTTTGAATGTTTTCCTCTTCAAATAGACAAAACCCTTCACTTTTTCACTGACACGATGAACAGGCGAACACGGGAGGAGTGATACAGGTCAGGACTAGTTCCCACCTGACGTCATCCAACGATCTGTACACGTGATGATGGCATACATCAATCTGTACACGTGATGATGTCATACATCAATCTGTACATGTGATGACGTCATCCATCGATCTGTACACGTGATGACGTCATCCATCGATCTGTACACGTGATGACGTCATCCATCGATCTGTACACGTGATGACGTCATCCATCGATCTGTACACGTGATGACGTCATCCATCGATCTGTACACGTGATGACGTCACTGTCGTTCTAAATTGAAAGGTTGAAGGAACAGATCGTTAAGATCCGGTTCTTTTCAAAAATAATATATTCCATCGCTGTACACAAAGATGCAAGATGATTATACGACTTTGACTTTGTATATTTTTGTTTCTGAAAAAAAAAAAAAAAAAAGGTACTTTAAGCAAAAGTTTGGGCACTCTTGATCTCATACCATAATCTAATTTAGCAAAATAGTACAATAACTTTTTGTACCAATATTTTCTTTAACAGAAAGTGACAACTTTATTATTAAGTAATTACTCCATGGATCTTTTTATAAATTATTATTATTCAGCATTAACCTCTTTCAGAGAGCTGCCTGTTGTGTTGAATTTTAAACGAAACGTTGATAACAAAACTAAGGCCAGAAGGAAGAAAAAGTATTTACAAGAGGCTGCTTTCTTTTAAGTAATTAATAAATTCAAGTTCTCAGGAATATTTAGGGTTGAGTGAGATTTGGACAAACTGTCCATGAAGTTGGACCTTCAGGAAGATTCTGGTGGTGCGCTGCTCCTATGCTCAACACATGAACAAATATAAACCTGATGGAAGGACCACCAAAAGTAAACTTTGCATACGCCATCTTTTTTTTTTCTCCCACTTTTAAATGATCTTGAGGTTTTTAGGAAGATATTCTGAGGAACTTTTCCCACCCACAATAAATACGATTATATTTAGAAGGAGGGGCTTAAAGTTGGTTATTAAAATAAATAAAACGACAGCTCAGCTCAAAAATTAATCTGCAACGACACAATATTACCTATAATATTACACAATTTGTGCCATCACACAGATATCATCACCATCAGAGAACAGGAGGGAGCAGTGGAACGTGAAGCTCCACATCTTCAGGGTTGATCATTTTCTGACCTCCTTCCCACAGATGGTCTTGCAGTTGTTCTGGTTCCCTAGCAACAATGCAACAACCTCATAAGAAGTGCCGCTCTGTTCCTGCTTTACAGCCCGTGTTGAAATTTAAACGCCTCTCAGGACCTCAGCACTTCATCTTCTCTATAAAGCTGCTTTTTTTTTTATTAGATGTCTCCTGGAGCTGCAGCGTTGTTAGTAACCCAACAAGTCATCTTAGTTCTGTTACGCTGTTTAAACTGCTCAATAGTTATTGGTTAATGCATACAGAATTTAAAAATAAAATCCTTAATTTAGTATGTGCAGTAACTGCAAAACATGTTATTTTCAGCTCCTGGCATCTATTTTTAGCACAAAAGAACAAAGCATTAAAAGCATCGTGTGGCGTTTCAATCCATTTCCAAAAACTATAAAGTAAAACCTTTTGTTGTTTCTTAACACATTATTTTAAATTAATGACCCCCCCCCCCCCCCACCATTTAAAACAAGAATAAAACACTTTATAGCATTTTATTGGCTTCTGTAACATCGCTCCAACAAGTAATCAAGGCAAACGTTAACTTTACACATACAGGCAACTGAAATTAAATTCTGCTTAACAAATATTGTGCATGCATTCTCTCACAGGGAGGGAAAAAGAACTTCATTACAATTAAGGCCAACTAAACTTTTACACTTCTGTTTCACTGTTGCACGAAACCTGCAGGAAGCAGCGATGTCTTTTCTGAAGTCAAAAACCAAAGCAGTGAAAATCTCAAAGAAATAAATATTACAGTTTAGGTTATGTAAAAAAAAAACCTAACAAGGCAAATATCCTTTAACAAGCTGGTTATGGTGAAAAAAACAAAAACAAATATATGAACACAGTGTTATTTTCTGTACATTCTTCAGTTTTCACACATGTTTTAACATAAAAAAACACCTCCATAAAACTAATGAGAGGGAATCAACAAGATTCTAATCTGATGCATAGCAATCACTTCATGTGACAGAACATAAATACTTCCAAAGGAAAAAAACAACAACAAAAAAACCCAACAACTTTTCAGATTTTCATGCAAACATGTTGAAAACACGAGGACGCAACAGATTTAACATGCAACTTAAAGACCAGATATTAACATTTCTTCAGATTTAATAAAAAAAAAATAAAAAAAACTTTTTCAGAATAAACGTAATGATCTTAAAGCAGCAACTTATTTAAACCAGAACTAAAATTAATACTTGGAATAAGGCACCAATTTTTTTTCTAATTAAAAAAATAAAAAAGAACAAATAAACAAGGCTTATGGCTCTATGTCTGCTTGTAGAACGGAGTAACAGAGCTCATTCTACCTTTGATACCAAGTGACGCGTCATTGCTGATCCATTCAGCACCGCGTGCTGCTGCAGTATACACTTACACGCAGCTAATAAATAAGTAAAAGTCGTTAACAGCCAAGCCTACTTACTGACTTGGACTGATCAGTTAGAACGTCGTTTCCCCACAACGAGACTTCACGATAACATTTAAATGAATGCTGTGCAAGAACAGACAGAGACAAACATTTTTACTTGTGCCACAACTGTACGTCTTTTCTAAAGTTCAGATACAATAGAACACTTTTGAGCAATAGCTTGTTATATTTTGAACGGCTTAGTTTGGAAAAACGACACTCCCCTGGTCAGGCTTTCCACCCACTTCAGAAGTTGCAGGATTTAATTCAGTTAAGTTTTTCTTAACACTGAAGAAGCAGCCATCACACAGGATGATGCTTCTGACCTCTTTAAGAATCCATGCATGCTTTTTATGTAAACACATGGTACAATATTGTTGACTGTACAGCTGAGATGCAGTTAATTAAAAAAATGCAACTGCCTAAAAACTATTTTACAACTGAATTGCTAGCAAGACCAAACAGAATTATACACCAAAATAAACATGTGGCATTTCAGACAAGACACATACAATGGTCATTTGTGTGCAAATAAAAATGTAAACGGTTACAGGAGCTAATAAATCATGCCCACTGAGCTAATAAAGTGCTGCAAAGCTGTCAGGATATATGCTTGGAAATGCTCTGGATGTTATACCCAAGTGCTCAAACAGATAGTGATAAGACTCACCAAGAGACTTTCAGCTGTTGGGTTTGTCAGATTGCTGGAAGAGAGCACAAAGCTCCTCACATGTCTGGGTTTCCACAGAGCTAAAATGTGACTCCATGTTCCACGCAAGGTCTGCTGACAAGAAGTCATCCATGACAGTTTGTGTTTCATTGCTGGTAAGGAAGAGTTGCCCCAGGCCTTCTGATTGGCTGGTTACAGTCTGAGTTTCTGTGCTGTTCAGCATCCTTGCAGGCTCACCTTGACCTACATTTGTGTGTGAGGAGGGACCTGTGGCAAACGCAGGGAGGTCCGTCTGTGTTTCAGTATCCGAGGACTCCGTGCTAATTGAAAAGCTTGAATGTCTCAGGATGCTCAAGGGCACGCCACTTCCAGCATTTAGTAGGAAATTGAGGTCAGTCTGAGTTTGCGTGTCAAATAGCTCAAGGTCACTGGCTTGGGTTCGACTTTGCCCCTCACTTTGGTCCAGATCATCCATGAGGAAGAAATCGGTCTGTGTCTGAATGTCCAGAGATTCTAGCGGTGTGTCGCCACCCAGTACGCCCAGCTCACTCTCCTCCGTCTGCGTTTGAATGTTCACAGCATTAAGGAACTCTTCAAAGTCAAATTCTATTCCGTTGTTTTGCTCCTGAACGGAGCCTGGACCTGACCCACAGCCTGCTGAGGCCTCTGTGAGGACCTGGTGGCCGGACATGCTGCTGGACAGAATGTTTTCAAGGTCATTTAACAGTGTCATTGTTTGGGTCTGGTTATCTGCCATGTTGTTTGCACCAAGTTCGCTTGTCTGCACACCGAAGCACATAGCACAAGATTTAGAGTCTTCATATATATTTCTTCCTGCAGCACTAAGGTGGTCATTTATATCAGGGGCGGTCTGGGTAGAAACACTAAGAGGCTCGTTCTCAAAAAGATCAGAGCACATAATAGCCTGGTCCTGAGCCCTGTCCTCTAACTGTGGCAAGGCAAAGTATGTCTGTGTCTGCCTGGTATTGTATGGGAGCACAGACGAGGAGGGGCACGTATCTTGGCTCAGGCATTGGCCGTCTGTCTGAGCTCCAACAGACGATGTGGATTTGGCTTGGGAGAAGATTGTCTGGGTTTCAACACTAACTGGCAGAAGGACTTGGGCACTCACGCTGATGTCCGTTTGGGAACAAGATGAAATCGAAGACTCACCCTCCATAGAATACAAACCTATTTCCTCCCCGACTACACCCCCTGGGGGCATTTTTGACAAATAGGATTTGTCCGTCTGAATGTTGGTAGAGGTGCTCCTTCCTCGTAGTCCTGTCACACCATTGGTTGGTGCATCTGAACTTGCAGAGTCCTGACTGACCTGTACTCCAGTGTTAACGCAACATTGGATAGAGTGGGAAGTGGCCATGCTATTTTCAAAAGTCAAACTTTTTCCATCAAGTTGGGGTACCACTGCTCCTGAGGTCTGTGGCAAGAGCTGAAGTGTGCTGACCGAACCATGGCTGTCCACTGCAAGAACTACAGACCTTAGAGTCCCACTTTCTGCAGATGGAAGGAGGACCGGCAGATGTGCCAACTGCATCACAGGCACGCTGACCAAAGCCATTTTGGGCTTTGGTAGGAGCAACTTCTGAAGACTCTTGTGAGAACTGGAGTGCTGTTTAGCTGGATCTAGGATGTATACAGTCGAATCAGAAGGGTGAGCTGTGTCCAAGTCCTTAGTAGAAGGCTTAATCTGAACTGAATCGTTAACCTTCACTTTTTCTGAATCACTTAAATGTTTCTCTATCTTTCGCTTTTTTACTGGAGGAACTCTGCAAAGAAACAAAACCCAGGAGTATAAAAGTCAATAACATGTTTTATCAAGAAAACGCAAGAGCTTAATCAAATTACATTTCGTATATACATGCCTGTGCTCTTTTGGAATTTCATGACCTGTCCTGTAGATGTGCGACAGCAAGGCAGCCCTGCTTGCATAGGGGCAGCCACACGTACACTCATAGGTCTTCCCACAGTCTTCTATGTGTCTCTTTAGGTCCCATTGTGTACTGTAGCCATTGCTGCATTTGGAGCACTTGTGTTTTTTCTCTGCATGCATCTTCATGTAGTGCTAAAATACAACCGAAAAGGGGAAAAAACTAAAATATATCTATATAGATATATACACCAAACACTGACAGAAAAGAACAATGGTCATTATTACAACACTAAATGTTTTGTTAAGGAACCTTGAATTATGGCATTTATGCAGATACCACCCACCTACACACCTCTACTGAGCAAACACTCTCTCATGGCAACAGGACTGCCTGATGGTATCAACCTGCTCTTGTTAGCCTACATGCCCTGCCATGCTGTAAAACCTGCTCAGGAACAGCTTGATGTTCATGCACAGCAATCAGCTCGGCCTTCAAAAATCCCAGTTTGATTGTACCCCTTCAGACTGGAAATCATCAGACCTGATCCAAAGAGAACCCACCCCACAACTCAGGAGACCCCAGTCAGAGATTCTGGTAAATTAAGGAAGATCTACCAAAATATCAGGCAAGTACTTTTAATGTTACGCCTAAATGATGCATTCAGAACATTACAGCTTGAAAGCACAACTAGAATATGTCATTATTACTGACTTCAGTGAATTAAGGCATGAAAAAAAAAAACTTTGCCTTTTTTGCCATGGAATCTGATCAAAGCAACAAACCTTATTTTTGCATTTTGGTTCAATCGCATTTACATTTAATTGTAGAAATGTGTAAAATGTGAACATTTCTTCACGTTGTTTAGAAACAACTTGATGTCTGAACAATGCATGCGTGGCAGAACAGAAATAATAATAAAAAAAACGTGTAATATTTCAGTGTATTTTTTTTTTTGCTTTTACTTTTACAAACAAATACTGTATTTGGTACAGTCTATATTTTAATTCAACCTTTATTTAGACAGGTTAATCCCATTGAGCCTCGAGGACTCATTTACAAGAGAGACCTGAATATATCATTACATCTAAGAGGTGCATGACATTTGTGAAACAGTTCTACGGTGTCAACCTTTTCTATGATCTGTGGTTTAAAATGTTTTCTATTCAAGCACACTATCCATCCATCCATTATCTTTACCCGCTTCTTCCATTTTTGGGTTGCGGGGGTCACTGGTGCCCATAGCCAGACCAGCAGTCACTGTTTGAGGGGTGGGGAACACCCTGGACAGGTCTCCAGTCCATCACAGGGACACAGAGACAACCAACCATTCACTCTCTCACTCACACCTAGGGACAATTTAGAGTTACCAATCAGCCTAACATGCATGTTGTTGATCTGTGGGAGACAACGGGAGTACCTGGAAAAAAAACACGCAGGCACAGAGAGAATATGCAAACTCCATCCAGAAAGGTCCCGGACTGGGATTTGAACCAGCGACCTTCCTGCTGAGAGGCAACAGCTCTACCAACTGAGCCACTGTGCCATCCTCAAACACACTAAAGAAAGTTTATTCTTGTCTTTCAGTGCATGTCAGCTTTGCAAAAATGCTTAGACACATATGAAAAGGTATTTTAAGAAGTACAAACAGGCAAATAAAGAAACTGCTTACTTGCTTAACCAGTGAGAACTGGGAGAAAGGTCTGTTAGGGCCCCTTGGACAGCCCTCAATGGGACAGCAGTAAAGTTTCTGCGAGCCCTTCGTCTCCTTTCGGACTGTGGGATTGACAATACAGTCCTGAAGGTGTCCATGACAGCACAGATGAAAAAAAGACAACAAAACAAGACATTAAAGTCTTGGTTCCCATAATAACAAGTCAATAAGAATTATGCAAATGTTGTATTTGTTTTACATATTAGTGAAAATGTGTTTTTGGTGTAAAGTTAACATAAAACTTGTGTCAGAAAACAGCAGCTCTATTGAACGCATTGTGCACTTTATAAAACAAACAAAACCACACTGACTAAAAACAATTATCTAAAACTCCTTTGTTCCATCAAATGAATTAGCAATTAACAGACACAGCTTGGAAACATTATGTTTCTGCAAACTACCACAGCTACACAGTCACGTGGTCATATCCTGAGGCCTACTTTATGTCAAGACATTATTTGTTATCAGCAAGCAGCTGAAAAAGCAAGCTGAGATTCATTGTCCTTGTTACAGCAGAGCTGCTCCACAGCCTTTAACCAGCGATTGCTGAGATCACGTTTTTTTTTTTTTACCTTTGAAAAATGGGACATCACAGTGATAAGTACGAGTAATGGTCTCTACTGGCATCTCCATGCTGGTAAAAGGTTATGGACTGAGATACAGATAACAAGCAAGTGAAAACAGTCCCATTTGTTGTATGGAAGAACTCTGTACAGAATGTTAGCGTGAATGGAAAAGAAATATGTACTTCAGTGAGAAATAAGTGGTAAAAACATAAAAGATAAATCAGAATATAAACTACTGATGTGCAGTGATGCAGTACGTTAGTGTTAAAGTGTACGTAACGGATCGAGTGTTCAACACCACTCTCTTGCAGCCTGGTGTCATTAATTCAGAAGTAAGTGAGAACCTCCAAGATTTGATCACTTTGTCACCACTGGAGTATAATTACCAGAGCTAACAGCAAATTCACAGAGCAGGGGTTTGATATGTCCGTGACTTTCACTCTAAAATGTTTGTTGCTTTCTCTCGCTGCAGACTTTATGCTAACTGTGCAATCTGCACCGACAGACCAGGTGCAAAATAACTAAATGCATTGTAGTACATAGCTTGTAATAAACAATTATAATATATGTACAGTATTGTTAAAAAAAAAAAAAAAAAAGGTTTCATCAGTAATGCCTTCATCTGCATTTAAGCATGTCTGGCCTAAACCTAAAACTTTGAAAACACAGCTTTAAATCACATTTTAAAAAACAGCGAGTTTAATGAGTTTGTAAACAACCTTCTCCTATCACACTAAGAGCTAATTCAAATTCTCACATTCACCTATTTTAAACAAAGAGCTTAGTCAACGCAGGACAAAAGACAGCCTTTGCTAGCAAAGAACTTCATTCATGAAGGGGAAACGGTGAATTACAGCCTCCCACAGAAAAGATCCGTCCAGTGAGGACAGAGATACCAGTTCAAACTTTAGTCCAAAAACTTTGTTAGCTTCCACTGCAAGAAAGCAATTATTCTGTCTTTTAAATTTGCTTAGCACATTTAAAAAAGTAACAGTTTTGCATCTCAAGTGGCAGCCTTAAGTTTAATATGATGGGCTAGTTTTTCCTTTCTGATAATTTTGTTCACTGATTAAATATACACTATTATCACAATATGTTGCATTCCTTTTGCCATAGATGTGACAAAACAGTGAAATGGTTGATCAAATTCATTATAGCATTTAGTAATAATTGGCATAAACTAGGGATGCACGATATTGGACTTTTGGCCGATATCCAATATGTTAAAACTTATTTGGCCGATAACCGATAGATATTTTATATACTTTCCTTTGTCAGAACATAGCTCTCTTATTTAAGCTAATTTGCTACAAAAATCGTGCAACAGCTATAAGAGCTGGTGACATATATTCAGTAACAACCACATGATATGCATAGCACTTTGACTTATATTAAATGAAAAGTGTTAATGTTATTTATTAGTCACCTGTGATGCTGTCTCACTTGTGGAAGCTTGTTCCAGGTTCCTAGCTGCAGTGTGGGATTCTCTGCACTCCTGTGCATGAAGGACAGACTTTTAAAGTTCTGTTTTTGTCTATCCATTGTGCCCTAAGACTAATCATGCTAATGGAGCTAGCATGACGTCCAAATGTCTGTGGTAAAATTCACCCAACAAGTTGTGCTATCGGCTGTTAGCTTCTCATTGACATCAGAAATGACGGCTTGTAACTTGGGTAATGTTACGTCAAAAAAATATCTCAGACTGGGGACGATGTAGTGAGGCTCAACGTAGTCTATAAATCTTCGGAATCTGACATCCTCACCAACGAAAAATAAAAATTCGACACCGCCGACATTTTAAATATTCCTCCCTGCCGTGAGATCAGGTAGGCGCACGTGACGTCATCGCATTGCGGTGCCGGTGCAACGTCATCACGCTGTGTTGCCGCTGCAACGTCATCACGCTGTG